TGACTGATAGAATGTAAATTTGTAGAGCCGCTGTGGAAATCAGTATACAGGTTCCTCAAAAACTAAAATGAGAACTACCGTTGGAAATAAAAATTGCTTCAAGCACATATGAGGGAAGAGACTCACTGAGATTTTCACAACTTTTTGAAATTTCTATTCATACTCTATTGTTTAAATTAGTATTTGGGTAATTTTTTCCTCTTATCTGTAATTCAGAACATTGTTTGAAAGCTTTCAAAAACATGTATTCGTGTGTTTTTGATAATTTACCTTCTGAAATACTTCTCCCTATAGAAGCCGATTAATATTTGACAATGTTATTATCATTTTTAATTAGAATATTATATGATTTTAAATGTATATTTTGAGCAAAGTAAAAACATGTGCATTAGAACAATATATTTTGAATATAACTGAGAGTAACATATCTGATTTTCCTAAACATGCAAAAATACTGATTTTTTTTCTTGTGGAATAATTGTGCAGTTGTCAAGTTAGAAAAATCAATGTAAAACTTCAGAACGCTTTATCACATTCCTGGTGGTTCTTGATTGAAGTCTTATAAAGTCCTCATATGCTAACCACGTTATTTTACCTTGTAGTCCAACACTCGATGTCTCGCATAAGGAGACTGCTGAAAGCTTAAGATATTACCTTGACTGAGTTTTCCCATAGTTATGCAATGTTAGAGCTATCTCTTATAACTTAATTGCTATCTTTTGTCATCAGCAAGCTTGAATCCTAATGTCATCTAAAAGTTGCATCAATACAGTTAACAACATCAAGCTTCAGGCCATGACACTAAAATATCTTATTATGGCTTTGGCATAAATCTTAAATATTGGGTTTCTTGATTTTATAGATGTCTTTAGTGAGCTTTAGGCTCTGTGGTATATTCAATTTTCTTATTCTATTAGTACACAAGTCTTACTCTATTTTAGAAAACAAATTATTTGGGGAAGACAGTGGCCAATGGCTAAATAACAAATTTTATCCAAACATCTCTTAGGTCAAGCAGAATATCTTCAAAGGATAGCCTTCATCGTGTAATGTAATTCATTCCTGAAAAAATGTGTCTCACTTTTAACCAAAGACGATTTCCCAAAGATAAATATGTCACATTCTGGAGATGTCATTGAGAGATAGAAGACAGAGTTGACTTCGTGTATTTTGTAGTCGTTTTAAAATTTAACTTGTACAATGGGTTACTGACCTCAGTTTAAAGACTCTGAGCAGTGGTGTTAAGCTATTTACAGGTCATTAAGTGTGTTTATTAGGAACCAGAAAGGCATGTTTCTAAAAAACATTGTTAATTGTGTTAATTGTATTAACTCATTTCTGTAGGATCACAGCCTTGTTGTGAATAAAAAATATTCCACAGAACAGATTCAGATGCTTCTCATTTGGATTTTTCGGAATAAGATTTGTTTCAGGTTAAAAATAGAATTACTGCTTTGAAAAGTCATTTTCTATATAATATAATTTTGACTTTCTAATTTATTTTGAGTTTTTTTTATATGACTTAAAATAGACACTTAAGAGAACTGCCCTAATATCATGAGTTTGAGAATTCTTATAGTTTTTCCCCTTTATTTTATTTAGTAAAATTTTATTGTTTTACTATTGAGTTGTTGACATGTACCAAGAGTATGTGCTTGAAATACAAAAATCAAAGAGCAAATATGATTTCTGATCTCACAAAGCACTTTGAAAAGATGCCAATTTGTTATACATCTGCACTTTATCTTACAGTGTTCCCTATTCACATAAAGAGCAATTGTTTTGCACAGTTATGTTGGGAAAATGTTTACATTCATATTTTTATCTCTGCTTGTATTATAAAAGTATAATCATTTTACTTTTTTTAAATTATACAAACTGTTACACTATCAACCCCTGGTGAAATATCTTATGATAGTGAGAACTGTAACAAAAGTTGCAGGACATTTTATGAATTATAAATCCCTTCCAACTTTTGTAATCCTGTGACAAATGAGCAAGACAAATATTTATTTGCGAAATAGAGCAACCAAGCATTAGAGAATACAAGTGATTTGTATAAGGTCGCTCATCTTTATAGGATCGGGGTTCCAAATGAAAGATTTATTGCCAGAGTTTCTGGTCTAATGCAACAGCAGATATTTATAAATATTTTGTAAATATTGACTAGAATACATTTATAACATCTGCTAGTTTTATGAAGTACATTAGACTACACAAAACAACAAGACACTGGTGTAAATATGAATATTGTGAGAAAAGCACTTTCTTCCAGTTCAGTTCAAAAACATAAATAGAACTCATTGCTCTTGTGGTAGCATTAATTAATTCATTTCACAGTGCTGGTTCACAGATGTTAAGTGTTATGACTGTGTATCAGCAGTCTAAACACAAATTGCAAAATATCTTGTTTATAATTGAGCATTGTTTCTTTGTGTTTCTCCTTTTCTGTCTCTATCTGTGTCCCTGTCTCTCTCTGTATCTCCTGTGTGAGGAGGTACTGAGGATTTAGCTTGGGGCCCTCTAGGCAAATCCTCTACCATGGAGACATACCCAATAGACCTTTTACTATTTCTGGAATGTGTCCTTGTAACAATCTTGTTTTTCTTGTATTCAGTTTAAACTTGTTTATCAGGTAAACTTGTTTTCCTCTAGTTTCTGGTAGAAATTAATTCTACCATTTTATATAAATAACACTGATGTTTGGTATGCCCACTACATACCTAGTTTCGTTTCCTTTAAACACTTCTACTCTGTATTGTATGAGTCTTTGTATCTTAGCAAAAATTCAGGTTATAGCTAGCTGTAAGCACACATACATAAAAAAAATCAGAGAGTCAATATGAAACCCATCCAGGTATCACATAGCCAAAATGAACTACTATTTTAAAGCTGCAAATGAGGAATGAAATATGAATGTTAATTTCAGTAGAAGTTATAAACTTAAGAATTGTGTAAATCCCATAGGAAACAGCAATAGGATAACACTGCACTGCTTATGTAATGTTACTTGGATAGATTAAAAGTTATCTATTGTTAAAAAATAAGAATTTCTGTAAATTTAGACATTCTATAATTAGAAGTTAAAAACAAGTGAAGTAATCCTCAAAGAACAGGCAGGTACATAGCTCAGTGGTACAAGTACCTGCCTGTCAAGCACAAGGTCCTGAGTTTGATTCCATGTGCCAAAAATAATAATAGCAATAATAATCTTCAAAGTGCAAATACTAACAATGAGCCAAATTAACTGCTTGTATCATTATAAACTATTGTGTTTTATTCACTCAAAAGATATTCATTGAGTGTCTTAGTGCTGAATAGAATGGAATTTGTGTTCTTAACTAGCTTTAATTTATTGGAAGAAATACACAGTACATAGATAAACAAATGAGCAAAATACTTTCAGATTATGGGAAAACCTTAAAGGAAATGAACAGAAAGCTAAGGTGGCAACCACTTTGGGAGTGCTGGTTGGGAAGGATTTTTCAGAAGAAGTGGTATTGTTTCAAAAATTCAGTAGAGAGTGCTTTGTGAAAAGCAAGAAGACACGTTCTAGGCAGGGAGAACAAAAGCCAAGGCTGAAAGATAATGAGTGAGAATATGGGATGAGATGATACTGGGAAGGAAGAACAGGATAGACTGTTCCGTGCAGAGCAGGCCATACAGACAGGCCCTTAGACTTCCTTGCATAAGCCAATAAAATTTTAATCAGAGCATGAGTAGCATCTAGTTATTTACATGGGAGGCAGTTGGATAGGCTGAGAGATGAAACTACTATGCCAACTTCGATAAGAAGCCATAGGGACCCACTTCTGAGGGAAGAAGTGGAGATGGAAGGATTTGAGATAGAGGAACCAACAAGACTTGCTGAAATTAAAGAAAGAATCAGGATAAACATTAGCCGTAGGATACTTACTTCTTATTAAAAAATAATAGCAAAGTATAAGTTTAATGCAGAAGAAATCAACCCAAAAAAGCAGGAATTACTTACATCAAATTGTTCACATACCTCCAGTCTACACATGAACAGTGAGACTCCCACACTTAACTAAATAATGGACTCAGTTCACTTGGATTTCTGGTTTATATAAATTAGATTTCAGCAGATACAAAATTTCCTATGTGCCAAGCACTGTGATAGGTTCTTTACATGAAGTTTAAATTGGTGATTGAAATTTGTACCTATGTCTCGTTTTTGAGGACTCTACATTCTTTTATACCCTTACATTGCCTTATTGGTCAGAAAATACATCCTGGTAAATCATTTAAAACTGTATATGTTTGACTCCTAATAGAAATGTTAGTGAAAAATGATGACAGAGAATGTAGTGACAAAATGAAGGGACACATTTGTTTATTTCTGATTAAATAATAGAAGTAGTAGGTATTCTGAATAAATACCTCTTCCAGCCCATAGGAGGAAACTTTGTAAGGTGTCAGGATAAAATTGGATTACTCAGGATGGGTCAAATCAGCTGACAGATAAACGGTTGATGGTGTGTTGCATTAATTTTCTTGGTAATAGTACACTTGATAGAGAAAGATGAAAATGAGCGATTAAATATAAAGTTGGATTAGATTTCAGAATCTTAAGAAAGAAGAAAACATGTGAAAGAAGAGAACTGTTCTTTGTCACTACCTCATTTATCTGTGATGCCCATGATCATCTGTGATTGCCAGGCTCCTGGGACGCCCCAGGTGAAGACATTCTGAAAGCAGGTAACTGCCTGCCCAGCACTTTCAGGTGATTTTGACATAGAAGAGTCAGTGAACCATGCTTTGAAACCTTCTGAGTTAGTCCAACCTTTTTAATTTACAAATTGGCATGAGACTTGTAAAGAAAACTGATTATTAAAAGTTATATCACTGCTTTTCCTTAGAGCTTAGTCTATATTGCAGTCACTAACAGGGCCAGTACGGTCCGCATCAATACTAGGATGTGTTTGTCCAGCTCCAGCCGTGGGCCTGCTAACAAGACATGTTCCCGCTTTCTCTTCTAGAATCACAACCACAGCTGCCTGCATGATGGACCTACGAAGGTACCCGCTGGATGAACAAAACTGCACGTTAGAAATCGAAAGCTGTAAGTCTTGCTGAGAAACCAGTTAGGCAGAACTCTGCTTTCATGCTATCCTTAGGCAGAGGCTTCCTTCTCTGATTCATGTCCAAAGGTCTTGCAAATCTTCTCTTAGTTTGCAAAGTTTATGGAGCGGGCGCTGACAGCATCTTCCATCAATAATGCTGTTGCCTTTTTACTCTTGTCCCTAGGTACTTAGGGCAGAAGTTTACAGATGAAATAGTCTGGCAATGAAAGAGCTATTCCAGGCATTTGAAGTGTGCAATTGGTGCCAATGCTTGCAGTAGGCTTGAGAAAAATCAGTGGAGGTAGAAGTATATCACAAAATACCCTAATTGTTTCTGCCTCTCCCAAATTTTTTAATTGTAAACTAAATATGGCCTCATAAATTAAGGCATTCAAACAGTATGGATTACTGGACTATTTTGTTATTGTGGTTTTTATTTGAGACACTGTTTTCAGTATCTAAAGTTTATACTCTTGATCAAGAGTGGAGTGGGTGCCATTGTGCGTGCGCACGGATGCGTGTCTGCACACGTGGGTATGTTCTGCTTCTTGTTCTGACTTGTTTCGCACTGTAGTTTAATTTTCTAGGTTATAATTTTATTTTCTGTGTGGATTTCATTTGTCGCCCTGTTGGATAGACTCAATTGCTGATTTCATAACCTGTCAGAAGCAATAGAAGGCAGTGGTTTGGAGTCAGCAGGGGGTGCAGTTTAAATCTCTTCTTCTCCATCAGTTCTTTGGGATGTGTTTAGACCTTATCTCACCAAATAGTTGGAAGCTGACAATTTGTATCCAGTACTCTAGATAATAAGTAGCTGGACTGCTAGAAGAATACTCACAGGCTTTGTGAGGATTTTAGCTGTGGCAAGCATTGTGACTTTGAATCTCTGCTCTGAGCAAATATTGGATATTTGGATATTTTTGCCCATTTGAAAAGATAGCTTCCAGGGATAATTAAATTGATATGTATTTTAAAGAAACCAATTGTATGCTTATATTCCAGATCAGCATTATTTTCAAATTAATCTTAGCTTTACAAAGCTAATGAAACTTGTTAAAGACATCTGTCTATAAGATTTAAATGATTAAATGTATGTAACATTCTTTAGAACAACATTGTATGCTGCATTGTCTTGATTTATGATACACTTTATAGAACAGTGTTCTTCAAAGTCCAAATGCTTTGGCAGGTTCAAATTGCTGGTGTAAGGGTATTTTGAAAATATGTGTTTTGTACCACTCGTGGATTTTTGTCACAAGAATAGCATGGAAGGTACCGTTTTACTGAAATTCCAAATAGCTGGACATGGAAGAAGTCATTGCATTTTATTGGAGGTCTTCATCTATCTCAAAGGGAAGTAAACCAGGACTTTTTATTTTAAGGACCTGAAGCCTAAGGAAATGGGCAACACCAAAATATTTCACAATGTTATTACATTGTAACTTTGACAAAATTATTTAAAAATAAACATGATAGCCCATTCTACTTTACATATCTCATTTCAGTCTATGGTTACTTGTGAAATGCATACACATTAATTTATTCTTCTCTTTATGAGTAGGGAAGCAGATGCAAAAGGTAATGTGACTTGTCCAGTATCATGCAGCCTTTGTTCAAGAGTAGGTCTGTGCTGATGTGGTAATTGACAGTTAAATTATTTTAAGAAAGATGCTGATATTAGAGACCAGATTGACAAACGCATATTCCTAAGGAACCTATTCTGAATATTAAGAATGTAGCCTGTCTTGAAGGGAAATTTGGAATTACATTTAGCCAGAAATCAAATCATTGTTATAGAGAATGAAACATGGTGTTGCATTAATAATAAATATGATTGCCAGACTTGGTTATATAATGTAAAGTTTACTAAGTGTATTAAAATAAGCATGATTGCCTGTCTCTTCACTAGTTCCCAGGTGATGCCTGACATTCTAGCAGTTCGTTTACTCTTTTCCTTTAAGCAAACATAAGCATTCATTCTCTATTTCTCCCTCCCCTCCTGCTCTTTTTTCTTTGTCTTCTCTGCTCTGCTTTCTCTTATTTTCTCCTTTCTTCCTTCTCTCTCTCAATTGGAATTGACCCTAATAATAGCTTTGCTAAATCTTTAGCACCTTGTAAAAAATATTAGCAGTATTGGTTCACTTTCAGAGACAATAACATAACCTGATTCTAAGAGGATTGAAGAGAACAGTAGAAATGAGTTAATTGCTTTTATTGATTCATTTAGTTAAGAATTTACTCATTAAATATTTTAGTGCTATTTACGTATTGTAATATGATTTAGAGATATGGTGAGAAGAATGATAGACAATATTCTTGCTGTTTTTTATGTCAAAGCAGATATAATTTAAATAAATACACATCTGAATATAAAATTGCACTGGTGATGAATTTGCCAAAATAAATATTTTATCTTAAAGAAAGGTTATTTAGAGTGTGCCTGGATATAAAGGTACGGACAATTCTAAGTGATCAGCATAGATTATATTTATCTTATTACTTTTTTAAACAAGGCTACAGAAGTTCTATACAATTAGTGGGATTTGCAGAATTACATGGGTCCAATGAGGTTTATCTCTATGCATTCTATGAAAAATGAATTGCTAAAATATGAAAGGGAATCTATCCTAAGATTTCCCAATCCTGTTTCTTAATGCTGCCTTTAATCTATAGGTTCCATTTTATTTTATATTCAGAGTCAACTCATCATATTTTGTGCACATAACACAATAGATATATATCATGTCATAGAAAGATGGATAGATAGGCTTTTCTATATATTACTCTAAACCTTTCAATATAGATTGGGAAAAAGATTAGAATACTTTCACATCTTTCTAGGGTAATGTAATGTCATCGAAATAGCACCAAATACCAACTAGCCTATAAAACAAAGTTCTTTTGAATGTTCTTATTTTAATGAATGAATTCTGGAATTGTTCCAGGCTTGCCAATGCTTCACAACTCCAGGGATGTCAAATATAATTTATGACTGTTAGTACATATCAAAGATTTCCGTTTAAACAGAGTGTTGATTGCACTGTCATAAGGACACAGCATGATATTGTACTGTGAGTATGTTCCACTCAAGAAACATAAAACAGTGAAAACCAGACAGATTACATATCTTTGAAATGCATACAGGCCTGGGGTTATACTGTCATGTTCTATACCAACTCAACTTTCCAATACCAGTGTCAGCTACATGACCATAGCACACCCTGCTGCCTGTCTCAGGAGAATATGGCTGCCTTATGCAGTCTCTAATCGTGGAGAACATGTAGACTGCTGGGCTGGAAGGAAATACAGAATTCCTTTAACTGGACCTCCTCATAGACTGCTCAAATTCCTAAAAACTCAACATTTTTTTATTCTTTTTATGTGCCTTTATCTCATGCTTTATCTGGCCGGATGTTAGGCTGGCCAGATTCATGTCTTAGAGAATGCAGTTTAGTACACTAAATTGAATTTGGTATACTCGCGCTCATTATTGCTGGGTTTTTCCATCAGTTCCAGCCTTTGTGAGATCTATGATGAGTTCCCAATGTGTAGAAATTTCTCAGCAACTCTTTTGAAGGCAACTTCACTGAGCTATGTCAAAGTTAACTCAGACTGTCCTCTTTTAAGATCTTAAAAAATATCCCACAACTTGCCTTTTGTGACAATATCAGACACCAGTTTTTGCTGGCTTTCAAATTCACTGTTTATGTAATTGACATTGAGAAAGTCATCCTATTTAGCTTCAATTTCCTCCTGGGTAAAATGGAGACACTGATATCTACCACATAAGATTATTATAAGAGTCAAATGAAATAATATTTTACAAATCTGTATTGCTTAGAATGTGGCAGACATCTGATAAGTATAAAGTTCAGTGATTAATATTATTACAGTAAGAATACTGGTTGTCATTAGTTTAGCACGGCGTTGCCTTTCTCTACCTCTGTGGAATTTATTCTGCCCTTTCAGCGACACTGCAAGTAGGTCTCATTGTCTGTAGTTCTCTCTGCCTCCGCAAAGAATCTCCCACCAACTGTGTCTCAGTAGAGAATGCAGATTAACTTCTGCTGCAGAAAGCAGAATTAAATATTAGCTTTAAACCCAAATGTAGATACATAAATATACTGTGGTATCTATGCTTGAACAAAGTGAAAGAATAGTCCATTTGTGAGTATAATCTTATGAGATTTCATTTAGATTTAAACAGTCTATGAAAGCAGTCTTGATCTGCTGGCCATCAAACTGCAAGAGTATGAGAGATCCTTCATACACAAACCCCTTCTTCACAGAGATGTTCATCATGCTTTTGAAAGCAGAAAATAAATTATGCCTTTTGTTGTATTGAGTTCCAATTTTGACATCATAAAACAACTTGCTGCCAAGTTGTTGATGGAACAAAAGCTCTATTTTCTTTATTCAAGAATTTCATTCCATAGCATTCTGTTAAAGAAGTCGGTATAGATTTATATATTTAAGCATTTGAGGCATTGAATATGAATTTACTATAGTGAAAGGTTAATATATGTACGAACCAGGTTACCTGTCTAATAGCTATTATAGCTATAATAATTTTAAGGAATTTATAGAAAGAAGAGTGCATTGTGTTCTTCTGCCTCAAAGTGAAAATCAGCGGCATTTTGGAGTCAGACCTCTCACAAAAGAAGCAGTGAACAGATGGAACTCTGTGTTAATGTGGGGTTATGGTATTTTTGTGAACATTGATAGACCTAGTAAGAATGGGGTTCCTCGGGATAACAAAACATGTCATTGGCTTCAAGATAATGCAGTATTGTGATCCTTGTAAGTGATGAGATACACCAGGTATAGGTTTTCCTGCAATACTCAGTACTGGCATTCCATAAGTAGCAGCTCTCATTCTTCTAGCATCATCCATATTGCTCCTGGAATATTACACTCAAACAGCATGGCATTTTAAGAGGAATATTTAGCAATCAGAACAACCAAAATGTAAATGATTTATAAACCTGGAATTTGAAGA